TTTCCCAAAATATGTATCTGTAGTACTGTTTTAATGTAATGCTTTTGGATATATTGTTTTAGAGTATCAGTAGTTATAAACAGAAATGTGAGGATGGTGTATGAAGAGGGACAGGAAGGAAATGTGCAAGAATTACTTTTAAACTTCCTGTTCAATAATCTTTACGGAGAGTTATTGCTCTGGACTTCTAGAACTAAAAGCGGTGGCCCAAATCCTCTGCTGCTTTTTATATTGTCTAACTCAAAAGCAGAAACAAATAATGTATTAAAGGACTTCCACTGCAGTTGCAATGAAATAACGGATTGGGCATACCCCTTTGGCACTCTTTCGCACACATAAAAATAAAGTTCAAAAACTGGACAAAATATATCTGAAAAATATCACTCAGACATTGAGTAAGAGATGGGAAACAATAGGATTCCTAAGAGAAAAGAAACAAATGAGATAAACCCTGTATCTTAGTCTAGTTTTGCTGCCATCACAAGATGCCAAAGACTGTGGTTTGAAGCAATAATTTTTCCAGTTCTGCAGCCTAGAAGTCCCAGATAAAGATGCCCACCAATTTGGCTCCTGGTAAGATCCTTCTTCCTGGTCTGTGAAGTACTTTTAAACTATAGAAATGTCATTTTGGAAATATACTCCTCGTAAAGTTCAAACACGTTGGAGAGAGAGGTCTTTGTGTGTCTTCTTATAAGAACACTAGTCCTCAGATCATGGCCCCATCCTTATAACTTCCTGTAACCCCAATGACCTCCATGAAGGTCCTATCTCCAAATACTGTGGAGTTTGGGGCTTTAATATATAAATTTGGGGAAGGGACATAAACTTTCAGTCCTTCACACCCTACCTGTGCACTAGGTTTCTAAGAAATGCATTTCTTAGACTGTGATACAGGAATAATCCAGTGAAAAAGGAGTATATTTTAGTGGTCTAGAAAACAGGTTATAGGGAAAGGCTTCTTGCAATCAGTCCTGGTTCAATCCCTTAAAAGCAGTTTGACTTCTGGAAGGTTATTTAGCCTTTCTAAAGTTGTAACTCATGACCTTCCTTGTAACAATTTACCTGCAAAACTACTTGTCAAAGAAGAAAAAAGCCTAAAAAATTAATTATCCTTAACTTCTATCAAATAATATCCCTAAAAATCAGCTATAAAGGATCATAAAATTGATACATAAAAGCAATGACCATAAAGGGGAAAACCCAGTTATTCCTTATGGTTGAACAGCTCTCATCAGAAACAGGGAGGAATCTCAGCCTCCAGTATTTACCAGAAAAAGTAATCTCATTGACAGTGTCTGAAAATGGTTGGATATGCACCAAATATAAGATGCCTTCAATTTTCATCAGTGAAGAACAGAATGTCTGTTTTAACCCGCCTCAAAAGAAGCAAGTTATGAATAGAACACCTTAAATTGTTTAATCAAAATTAAAACTAAAAATTATACACCTTATTCATTCTTCTGGTTTCTAAGATTTTTTGGTCTTGCTTTCTAACATCAAACTTAAGGCTTGCAAGATACTCTTTTTCCATCTTAGTTTGACATGAACCACGTAAGAAAGTGCACTCTCTGGGCCTCCCCAGCGCAGCAGTTGAGCGCTGGGTTGTGAGGCTGCCCGCAGCCTCTGCAGCGTGGGTTCGATCCCTGGCTGCTCCCAGGCCACCTGAGGAGGGTCCCGCATGGCGCGCAGACCGCTCCTGCCGCCTGCTGCTCCCCTCAGCAGTGTACTTCAGTCCTTCTGCCTGTTCTTCTCCCCGCTCTGGCTCTGGTGAATTCTCTCACCCTCCCGCGCTTCTGACTGTACCCAGTGCTTGTATAAATAAATAAAATAAATAAGTTAAAAAAAAAAGTGTACTCTCTTTGAAACCATATGGGGCTGAGCTCAAATACCAGCTTCACCACTTGTTAGCTGGGTTACCTGAAGCAATTCTTTTACACATTCTATGCCTCAGTCTTTGCCTCATAAAAGACATATGAAAAGTGGGCAAGGGTGGAGAGCACTTGTTACTATGAACATTGATGAGATAACAGGCTGATAAGGTGGGTCTCACAGTGGTCATTTTAAAAAGTATTATAGTCTCCTACCCTTTTGATTAGCAAACCTCATGACTGATGTCTCTTTAATCAACCTAGTTTCTCTGTTTATTCAAGAACCGTTCAGGTAAACATTATTTTAATTCTACCCTGAGTAATGTTGTAGATAGTGCTAGCATTTTCATAGTCCCTGTGTATTATCTTTGAGCTTTTTTGGTGCTTTATTTCTCGGAATTCATGATATCAGCACAGAGGAAATTTAGTCTAGTTTGTCTTATTTATGCTCATGAAAGCAAATGAAATAGAAACCATTGAAATCATCAGTAACCCACAACATTCCTTTTCATGGCATTCCTCCAAACAAGACATTTATGAAGAAAGGAGCAAGAAAATCCAACAAATGTCTCTTCTTTCTGATTCTGTTCTCCCCAGATTGCTTCCTACCCTCTGTTAAAGTTGTAAACTATTTTAAAAACAATCAGGTATGCTTAGCAAAAGAAGAAAAGTTATAGTGTTCAAATTATCAATAGGAAATGAAATTTTAATAATTAAAAGCAACCTGCTTTACAGGAACAGTACAAGAACATCTAGTGGTATGTTTGTGAGCATGCTTCATTAGCTAAAATACCTTCCCAGCTATCAGCTCTAGTCACAGCATTGCAGCATCAAATATCCTTCCAGTGAGAAGAATGAATGGTTAATTCTATTTCTCCTCTCATAAGCAGTAGCTATTATCATTGCTCAAGGTCAATATACATAAAAGAGACTTGAAATTTAGAGGAAAGAATGTGAGGTGTTTTTATTAGAGAAGAATGCTTGAGGGCCTTGCATTAACGTGACCAACTATTATAATATTCCATGGAAATGATAAAAAATCAAATATATTAAGATAACTTTTTATACTAATAATGACAATTCTGATCACTAACTTTCTAAGAAAAGAAATTCAACATAACAGTTCATTTCCTGTTTGTACCAAATATTCATATTATTTTCATAATGCAGAAGGATAAGATTTTTTACCTTTTTTATGACATATCAGGAAAAAATTCAAATATTATGACCCTTTATTTTTAATACCTACTGTAGTTATTTGTAATAATGCTATTTATTTCCCATATCTCTGAACACAAATATCTGGTATCATTTGTAGTTACCAGGTATTTAATTCTTATTACATAAGAGACACTCTGCTAAGTAATTTATATGGGTTATTTTACTTACTCTTCACAAGAACTCCTTGAAGTGACTTATTATCATCTTTATTTTGCACTTGAGAAAACTGAGACATAAGGAGATCCTTTGACTCACAAATATCACTCTGCCAGTAGTGAAGTTTACATTTAAAATGATGTATCTGTTTCCCAAATTCAAGAAGTCGACATAATGTCCCCATGAGACAATGCTCTTTTAATGGTGTCTGAATATTTTACCTTCATTCATGTTACCCATGCCATTCCATAATCACTACTCTTTAAGCAATGTTTTTTCATCTTTGCAAACTGAACATAAAACTATGATTTCACTCAGATAAAATGATAACAAAAATTATTTTCTAGGGCTTTACAGTGTATAAATTCATTGTTGAAGAATACTCTTTAAAAGATAGGATAATGACTCTCACACAAATATGAAATAGATGCATGTCAAATATCAACTCATTAATGTGGGAATCAGCAAGGGAGAGAATCCAGGAACCAGTACAAGGGGTTCAGAAGAGAATCCAAAGAGCAAATATTTGGTTATTCAGAAATGCTGATATAAATTTCTTACTAGGTGTAAAACTGACCAATATTAAGAGGGAAAAAAATAACACTACCTTCAAGGAAATTTGCATTTCTGTTGTCAAGATTTATTTGTATCACTAACACATTCAACATGTACAAGAGTCTAAGGACAATGAAAGAACCAGTTTCCACAGCACTACTCAGACAACGTCATGTTTTCTTTTGAAGACACCAGTAATCTTTTCAAAGTCTTTCACAATGTTTCCCTAAATTCTCTATTTCTGAGGTAGAACAGGAATTTAGGACATTTTAGAACAAAATGATGCAAACCTTATTAGTTTGATTCAAACCCTATTAGTTAATCTTACACCAGGTGCCACTAGTTGTAAAGTTCTATATTATCTAACAGTAGGTTAGGGGTCAGGTGCTTTTGATAAACAAAATTGGCCAAATCTCATTCTCTCATCTGTAAATTCCTGCCCCCTTTAGGTTAAGCAAAAGTTGTCCAAACCCATTCAGGATCCCATTTATGAGCCACTGCCCTTCAAACTAAGCAAGCATTTACATCAGCAACCTTTGGACCCAAGATGTAATTCTCTGAATCTGCCCACACACACTTTGAATCTACTACTGCCCCAAGAATTCTTTCCTGCATGAGAGTCAAGAACCTCAGGGTTCCTCAGCACCCCTGGACTTTACAAATAAATCATCATAACATTTAATTAAAAATAAAAAAGCAGTACAGATTGATTAACTTAATCAAGACCACCACATCCAACACTGTTAAAAACATGGAGGACTCTCCTCCCCTCTGAAATATCACATTACAATACAGAAATGAAAAAGACAAAATCCCTCAAAAATAAAGAAAAAGTCAAAGCCGAATACTTGAAAGTTACCGCTAGCCTACAAATAGCAGAATGTAAGCCCACTAACTCTTGCCTCGGCAGGACATTTATCCAACATTTAATTTTTATAGAAATGTAACGAGAAAGGCTCGGAGCTCCATAATATCAAATTGAGGGGAGTTAGCACAGGACCAAAGCAGGCGGATTAAGTGAAAGACACCTTCAGGGAACTGTGAGATATTTTGCACCTTCTCCCTCCTCTGGAGGATATGACTGTAAGACCTGAGATTTGAGGATTCTTCTCACAAGAAACTGAAAGTTCCCAAAAAATGACCTTCATGTACAGACACCATAGATCTGCCAAGTTAATGCGTTATAACCAAAAGACTTACCAGGTATGCAGAGTTGGGGAGAACTTTTCCTCTACTCTTATGGGTTCATTTATAGGGGGCCTGAAAACTAAACAGACAAAAGGACAGATTAGCAAGAATAAAATAAAGTTAATTGCATATAGTGGCCCTGTGTTGAGAGAGAGAGAGAGCTACCGGTAATGCTTTCTGGGATCCCGGGTGCACTCTGCGGAGGGCAAGCAAAACCAAGCAGCTTCCTGCAGGTCTACAGGTCTTTGACTTTTCATCAACTCTGGTTGCTTAATTCCACCCTTAGTTGCTGGTAACGCCCCTTCAGGAAGTCAAAAGTCATGGAGCTGCATGGCATGATGGGAGTTGTAGTCCTCCCTGCCTGGGCTCTCTGGCTCGGAGGTGGGGGCAGAGTTCATAAAACATCAGTGGGTGGAGCTTATTTATGACTCACTGATCATCCAACAAAAGGGCACTTACATACTATAAATGGGCCATTAGAAGAATAGGCAGGGGGCATAAGAGTGATAATGTAAGTTTGAGTGTGGTGACGACTTCTCACTGAAAAGAGAATTTTGGAGTTGCTCTGGGGAAGGCATTTATAACCCTTAGTTTCTTTTGAATTTTCTACATTTAGGCAACTAGGGATTTCAAGAACATAAATTGCTTTCAGCTCAAAATAAATTTTGTGCCACAATGGCTTATGCAGTATCTCCTCAAAAATCTTTTGGGACCTCCCTGATGGCATAGGGGTTAAAGACAGCGCTTTCGACCCCTTGCCAGCACTGCAGCATCAGTTCCATCCCTGGCCAGAGCTAACCCACATGGCACAGCAGACATCTCCAGTCCAGCCTGCTGCTCCCCTCAGCAGTGTATTTCAGTAGATCTCCTTGTTCTGCTCCCCACTGTGTCTCTGGTGAATCCTCTCACCCCCTATACCTCTGGCTTGTACCCCAGTTCTTGTATGCATAAATAAAATAAATCTTTTAAAAAATCATAAAATTGATATTTTAATATAAATCTGAGATATAAATTGAGTTTAATGTAAAACTGAGATTTTGGGTCTCCCACATGGTCTAGGGGTTGCTCAATGCTATCACTGCCAACACCCATCACCAAGGCCTGAATTCCATCCTGGCCAGGGAGCTAACCCGCATGGTGCAGCAGACCTCTCCTGTTCCATTCACTGCTCCCCTTAGCAGTGTATTTCAGATTTCAGTAGGCTGCCTGTGCTGTTCCCCACTCTGTCTCTGGTGAATCGTCTCACACAAACCATCTACCCCCCTACTTCTGGCCTGCACCCCAGTTCTACGCAAAAAAAAAATACAGGTTTTTTTATGGTAGATAATGTTTATTGTATGATAAGGACACATAATGAGGTCTTTCGCTGCTGTATTTTAGCATCCTCTTCCTTTTAATATATTTTTTACATGATTGTTCATTTTTAACAATGTTTGCTTCCCACCCACACCTCCCACCCTCACCCTGTAGTCCCCATAGAGTTTCCTTCCCCAATGTACCTATGCACCATCACCACAGTCCCCTGTGCTCCTCCCTCCCTCCCTCTGATCCCTCTCCCTCCTCCTCCCCTGCAGGATGTCTCTGGTTTATAATTGTCTGTTTTTGTAAAAAACTGAGATTTTAATATTAATCATTAAAATGCCTGACTAAGGGGAAAGACAAAAGTTGTATTCAATGTATATTGAATTGATGATTTGTCTTCTGGTTCCATAAGATAAAAAGGAGATAAAATTGGCTGAGAAAGTATCTTTGGATGCAAACTTGAGGAAAGGATGAAGAAAGGAAGGACTTTAAAAATAATGTCAATAATAACATCATAAGATGGTATATTAGTTATACTTTCATAGCATTTTGATTCTGGAGTGTCAAAGAACTTCTTAAGCAATTATATCATGAATCACTTGTCAGAAGCAGCAAAATACAGACATGGTGCATAGGAATGGAAGGAATGTTAAGCATCAGTTAGTCATACACTTCATTGAAATTCCAATGGGACCGGACACTAAATTTCAGTGAGGCTTGGAAAGTCCTGTGAGGCTTCAAATGATGCTCAAATTATCCCGGGCGTGAGTATCTGACTAATGACCAGTTCTCCTGTCTTTTTTGCTTAGGCTGAATCAGTATTTAATAAGTAATTGAACTCAAGATGATATTTATTATACATTTGGAAGTCAAAACACAGATATTAGAGGTTCTTTTTAAGAATCATATATAATTTAATGTCTTGATTTCTAATCTAGTACACTTTGCCATTATATAATACTGGTATGTTTTAATTAAGAATAAGAGTTTAAAAGTTTTAACACATACTAAAAATAACTGATAATCTGTAGAGGGTATGGTCACAAGAAGATTAAAATTACAAAAAAATGCCAGATTTTTCATGGAATCACTTTAAGCATCTGATATGATATGATTAGCTTTAAATTTCCTCAATATCATTGTACAATGCATAGCATTTTTTAAAAACTTTTTTCTAGAATACCATACATATAAGATTTTTTTCTTTATGAGGATCAATGCAATATATTCACCTATGCATTTTAACTTTTCTTTGTAAAAGCAATCCATTGTAATTGGTACTTGGTTACCGAGAAGTAAGGGGATATCATGGATATGCATTTTTTAATCTTTATAATTATATGCATAATATATGCAATTATTTCCTTACTTCCTTTGAGGAGAAAATATAGTGATGACTATCTTAGACTTAGGCAGCAAAAGCAAAAATATACATATTTTAACTCCAGCTGTTTTCTGCGGGCAACTGAATATCCTTGCTATGACACCCTGCCTATTATTACAAAATGTTACAATATTGGATGTGTCTCATTTCTTCAGCTCAATATTTTTTTTGAAAGGAGGATAATATTACATAGTATGCAGGCTTTTCATTTATATATCTCTATATATTTGTTAACTTTATATATAAATATATTCATCCATGATTTTTACGTATACATTTTTGTTCATTTTTGCTGTGATCTTCTATGGCTATGCAAATAATTTATCTATTCTAATGTTGATGGACTGCTCGGTAACTTTCAGTTTAGAGCTTCTTTGAAAATGCTGCTGTGAAAATATATATGTAAATGTCCATTACACACATTAATACTTATTTGCTTGCTTTTACTCTTGAGTAGCATTACTGAATCATATGTTAAGCATATGTTCAGCTTTACTAAATGCTCCCTAACAATTTTCTAAAGTGATTTAGCAATTTTATTCCACAAATAATGTTATTCTCACTAGAACTACAAACCACCTAGGCATGATTAGTTTTGTGTTTATTTTTTATATAGGTATTTACATTGCACTATTTTCTAAAACTTGTTATTTTCTTATTTTATAGTTCGTCCCCTAAAAATACATGTATGCAACTATTATTGAACCCTCATTTACATTCATTGGGCTATTGGTCATGAACTTTGTATTCCTAAAACTTTGTAATAAGTAATGTGTGTTAGTACAAATTCTCCAACAATGATTTTCAAGATAATACTGGCTATTGTGACGTATTTATACCTTAATAAATTTTCAAATGAATCCTTTGTTTTTCCATTTTCTGATGTGATTTGAAGTGTGATTGTACTAATTCTACAGATAAATTTGGAAGTTGACAGATTTGTAATGTAAATTCTTTCCACTTACATGAAAATAATTATTTCTACAATATAAACTACACAGGAATGAACAAAAATCTGTTCTTCTGATTTTTTTTTTATTATCTTAATTTCTCAAAGTATAGCTTTAGAGTTTCTCCCATGAAGGCCTATGGTAGTCTAAATTCAATGCTCTTAATTCTTACAAAATCTCTTCCCACAATGTGAACAGAATCTGTGTATATGATGAAAAATCACTTCCAGGGTTATATTATATTACATGACAAAAAGAGAAGTTAGATTCAATTGATCTTTAAAAGAGAGGTCATCTGGCTGGGACTAGTCTAATAACAGCAGGAATTTAAGTTTATATCTCAAAGAAGGAGAAAGTTAAAGATCTAAAGGATGAGAAGGGTTAAACACATCATTTTGAATTTCAGGTTTGAGTGGGACCATATGACAAGATGTGTGTGTGGCCCCTAGGAGCTGAGAATGGCCCCTGGCAGATAGTCAGTAGTGAAATGGAAATTTCAGTCCTACAACCATAGGAGCTGATGCTGCCAAATATGAACTTGGATATAAACTTTCTTGCAGATCCCAGACAAAAACTGTACCCAGCAATTCCTTGATTTTGGTCTTGATGGGACCATTAGCAAAGAAACAAGTCATATACATCCAAATTTCAATAGAACTGTAAGCAAATAAATTTGCATTGTTTTAAGCTGACACACTTTGTGGCAATTTGTCATTCAGCAATAAAAAAAAATACAAGGCTTTTGAACTTCTTTAGTTAGATAGATTCCTTGTTATTTTAATTTTTCATGCTATTGGAAAGAGTATCTTGTTTCTAAAACTTTGTTTTCTGGATGTTTATTCTTTGAATTTAGAAATATATTGATTCTAATGAGTATCTTATGCCTAGTAGCCTTGTCAAACCCATTTATATATTCTAATAGATTATCTGTAGGTTTTTTAAAAGATTTATTTTATTTATTTATGAATACAAGAATTGGGGTGTGGGCCAGAGGTACAGGGGGTGAGATGATTCACCAGAGACAAAGTGAGAAGCAGAACAGGCGGATCTACTGAATACACTGCCGAGGGGAGCAGCAGTCGAGACAGGAGAGGTCTGCTGTGCCATATGGGTCACCTCCCTGGTTGGAGATCGAACTCAGGCTGAAGTGATGATAGTGCTGAGACTTAACTCCTCTACCACCAGGGAGGCCCTGATATTCAAATATTATAAAGCCTTTCATTTCTGAAAAAAATAGAATAGGGGTATTATGTTGGGGTCCCCAAGCCGTGGCTCAAATTCAGTGATACACAGGAAGGACTCACAGGACTCAGCATACAGTCAAACTTACTGTTTTGTTTATTACTGTGAAGGATACTGAGACATGTCAGCAAACATAAAAGACATAGCGCATGTTCTGGAAGAAACCAAACACTAGCTTCCAAAAGTCTTCTCCCAGCAGAGTCACACACAGACACACTTAACACCTCCAGCAACCTGTTGTGACAACACATGTGAAATACTTACTATTAGGGAAACTCAGTAGAAGTTCAGTGCCCAAGGATTATATCAGAGTCTGATTACATAGGCATCTGCTGCTTAGCACATACTAAAATGCCAAACTCCAAGAAGGAAGAAGTT